GGGCCGGCGAACTGGGCTCACCTCGCGGCGCGGCGGCCGGGCCTCCGTGTGCCGGAACTTGGACACCTTGAAGCGGTTCATGGCGGCGAAGTCGACGGCGGGCGCAGCTCCGAGGACCAGGGGCGTCGGCTCTCAGGTGCACGCCGAGCGGCAGCGACTCCCGCTGCCTGCGGCCCCACTCGCGACCCGCCGCCTGCGGCCCCGCCCCTTCACGCCCCCAACCAATCGCAGCCGCCTCCGGCCCGCCTGGCCACGCCCCTGGCCCCCACTCCTTTCGCGCGCGCGCCGCCGGCTCCCCCGCCCTGTGGTCAGTCGCGGCTCGGCAGCCCGGCTGGACCACACCCCGGTGCCAAAGGGACGAACAGGCGCGGGTGGGAGGTCACGTGTGGCGCAGTTGTCTGCCCCCGGCCCCGCGGTGCTTGCGTGGGGACTAGGGTTCAACGCGATTTTGTGCGCAGGATTTGCCCCGGGAGGCTTTTCAGTGGGCTTGGTGCGCTCTCCAGCTCTATCTCCTCTAGCAGAGAGGGCAGAAATTAACTAGCTCCATTTCAGGAACTGGAAACATTGCCCCAAGTCCCATCCATAGTGGTGGCAGGGGGAAGCAGGAGCCAACGTCTGACACAACTCCCCATCCTCGGGGACTATGCCAAAGTCTCTACATCCCACCCACTCTGCTTAGGTCTGGCGGGCTTGGTGGGGATATAGGGACCTTCATGCATCCCCTTATTAGGGCATGTCTTGGCTAGTCCCCACCAGGTCTTGAGCGTGATGGGCAGGACCCTCTTACAAAAAATCAGTGAAGTCATTTACAGATCAGCTGAAAGGGCAAAGATAAAGGCAGTGAAGAATCTCTTCAATAGCGAAGTGCAGAAGTGCTGCTGCACAGTTGCCTGGCTTATTCCCCAGCAATTCAGGAGAAAAAGAGAGTAGGTTCATCCCACTTGGAGCCATTCATTCCACAAGCATTTCTCCTTGCTTTGAAAATTGACTCCATGATTCCAGAATAGCCTTCTGCTTGAGAACAGACATAACACCTGCTCTGCCGTGTCTGAAAAATGGACTTTGATCTGAGGAATTCAAATGATTGGTTGGGAATGGACAGCTGTTTTGGAAAGTTCTCTTTCTGCATCCTGACCCAGAGGACAGCCTCACTGTAGGTGATTCTGAAATCACCTGGCCATGGGCCCCATATGACCCCAAAATGCATGTTCTTTCTATAGTTCTCACAGATAAATTGTGAAGACTAAAGTCTAACTAGCAGTATCTTGCCAAGCTAATTACGAACAACTTTGGCTGGGCTCGGTGGCTCAGCCTGTAATCCCTCGCCTTTGGGAGGCTGAGGTGAGTGGATTGCCTGAGCCCGTGGGTTCGAGACCCGCTTGGGCAATTTAGCGAGACCTCATCTCTACAATAAATCAAAAAATTACCCGGGTGTGGTAGCGCGCGCCTGTAGTTCCAGCTACTTGGAAGCCTGAGGCGGAAGGATCGCTGGAGCCAGTAGATTGAGGCCACGGTGGCCGGAAGTGGCCACTGCACTCCAGTCTGGGCGACAGAGTGAGACTCCAACTCAAAAAAAAAAAAAAAAAAAGAACTTTGATTTCCATGAAGTCAAAACAGGATGTCTGTTGAATTGCCTGAGGCCTAGAATTCAGAACTCCAAGCACTCTGACAGCCACATGTCTGCAGGGATTCCCAACGCACCCAACTCTGGGTTCCAGCAGCTTGAGAAGAGGCACCACCAGTCAGTCTTGTGTTGGTTATTGTGTTCAAGTACTGAAAATACTACTTTTAAATGTTTTAATTATTTATGTATGCATTATTTTTATTTTTGTGTGAATTGGAGTCTCTGTTGCCCAGGCTGAAGTACAGTGACACGATCTCAGCTACTGCAGCCTTGACCTGCTAGGCTCAGGTGATCCTTTTGCCTCAGTCTCCCAAGTAGCTAGGACTACAGGCACATTCCACATGCCAGCCTAATGCTTTGATTTATTGTAGAGACAAAGCCTCGCCAAGTTGTCCCGGCTAGTCTTGAACCCCTGAGCTCAGGCAATCCTGTCACCTTGGCCTCCCAAAGTGCTGGGATTACAGATGTGAGCCTTTTTTTTTTTTTTTTTTAATTGGAGTCTCCCTTTGTCACCCAGACTGGAGTGCAGTGGCATGATCACAGCCACCACACAGCCTTGACCTGCTAGGCTCACGTGATCCTTCTACCTCAGCCTTCCAAGTAGCTAGAACTACAGGTACATGCCACAATGCCTGTCTAGTTTTTTTATTTATTAGAGAGATGAGGTCTTGCTAAGTTGCCTAGGCTGGTTTTGAACTCCTGGACTCAGGCAATCCTCTTGCCTTTGCCTCCCAAAGTGCTGGGTTTATAGGATCTGAGGCATGAGCCACTGCACCTGGCCTCTACTTTAAAAAAAAAAAATTGTTAAAAGAAAAAAAAGTATAAGTGGGGCTCAGTGGCTCAGCCTGTAATCCCGCGCCTTGGCAGGCTGAGGTGAGTGGATTGCCTGAGCCCATGGGTTCGAAACCCGCCTGGGCAACTTGGTGAGACCTCATCTCTACAATAAATCAAAAAATTAGCTGGGCGTGGTAGTGCACACCTGTAATTCCAACTACTTGGAAGGCTGAGGCGGAAGGATAGCCAGAGGCCAGCAGGTCGAGGCTGCGGTGACTAGGAGCGGCCACTGCACTCCAGTCTGGGCGACAGAGTGAGACTCCAACTCAAAAAAAAAAAAAAAAAAGTATAAAATCTCCTCATTCCTTGACCCATCAGCAAACATTATTCTACCTATTTTTTTTTTGAGTTGGGGTCTCACTCTGTTGCCCAAGCTGCAGTACAGTGGCATTGTCATGACTCACTGCAGCCTTGGCCTCCTGTGCTCAGGCAATCTGTCTGCCTCAGCCTTCCAAGTAGCTAGGACTACAGGTGCATGCCACCATACCTGGTTAATTTTTAATATTTTTTTTAAAAGCAGGATTTTTTAAGAGTACAGAAAAGCTCCCATAGTGGGAGGGGACCCAAAGAGGTTGCCAATTTTTTTATTTTTTTAGAGTCAAGAACTCACTATGTTGCCAAAGCTGGTCTGGAACTCCTAGCTCAAGCTCCTGCCTTAGCCTTCCAAAGAGCTGGGATTATAGGCATGAACCACTGTACCCAGTCCATTATTCTACTTTCCATCTCCATGCATTTGACTACTCCAGAGATCTCATATAAGTGGTATCATAAAGTATTTGTCTTTTGTGACTCTCTAGTTTCACTTAGCATGATGTACTCAAGATTCATCTGTGCTGTAGCATGTGACAGGATTTTCTTCCTTTTTAAGGCTGAATAATATTCCATTGCATGTATACTGCATTTTATTCACACATTTATCTATCAATGGACACTTGGCCATTGTGAATAATACTAAGTGTATGAATACCTTTTAGCTTTTTTGCTTTTTTTTTTTTTTTTTGTGTTGGAGTCTCACTCTGTCACCCAGACTGGAGTGCAGTGGCCACTCCCGGCCACGGCAGCCTCCACCTGCTGGGCTCTGGCAATCCTTCCGCCTCAGTCTTCCAAGTATCTGGAACTACAGGTGCGTGCTACCATGCCCGGCTGATTTTTTGATTTATTGTAGAGATGAGGTCTCGCCAAGTTGCCCAGGTGGGTCTCGAACCCACGGGCTCAGGCAATCCACTCACCTCAGCCTCCCAAAGGCACGGGATTACAGGCTGAACCACCGAGCCTGGCAGCTTTTTGGCTTTTTTTTAGTTGGAGTCTCACTCTGTCACCCAGGCTGGAGTACAGTGGCACACTCATGGCCACAGTAGCCTCAATCCGCTGGGCTCAGGCGATTGTTCCGCCTCAGCCTTCCAAGTAGCTGGAACTACAGGCATGCGCCATCATGGCTGGCTGAATACCTCTTTGCATATGGGTGTACAAATACCTCTTTGAGACCCTGCTTTCAATTATTTGGGTATAGACCCAAAAGTGGGATTGCTGAATTATACGGTCGTTTTATTTTTTATTATACTTCATATTGCTATATTACATATTGCTTTTTTTCCATTACAATTACTAGGCTGGGTACAATGGCTCACTCTTATTTTATTTTATTTTATTTTATTTTATTTTATTTTATTTTAGTTGGTGTCTCACTCTGTTGCCCAGGCTGGAGTGCAGTGCCATGCTCCCAGCCACTGCAGCCTTCACCTGCTGGGTTTAGGCGATCCTTCCACCTCAGCCTTCCAAGTTGCTTTGGAATTACAGGCATACGCCACCATGCCTGGCTAATTTTTTTATTTATTGTAGAGATGAGGTCTCGCCAAGTTGCTCAGGCTGGTCTTAAACCCATGGGCTCAGGCAATTCTCTCACCTCATCCTCCCAAGTGTTGGGATTATAGGTGTGAGCAACTGCACCCAGCCAGGCTCATTCTTTTAATCCCAGCACTTTGGGAGGTCAGGGTGGAAGGACTGCTTGAGGCCAGGAGTTCAATACTAGCCTGGGCAAAATATCAAGACACTGATTCTACAAAAATAAAAACTTAGCTAGGTGAGGTGATGCTTGCCTGTAGTCCTAACTACTTGGGAGACTCAAATGGGAGGATCACTTGAGCCCAAGAGTTCAAGGTTGCAGGGAACTATACTCACGCCACTGCACTCCAACCTTGGTGACAGAGTGAGAACCTGTCTCAGAATAAAATAAAATAAAATACTGGCTACTCAGAAGGCTGAGGCGGAAGGATTGCCAGAACCCAGCAGGTCGAGGCTGTGGTGGCCGGGAGTGGCCACTGCACTCCAGTCTGGGTGACAGAGTGAGACTCCAACTTAAAAAATAAATAAAATAAAATAAAATAACAAAAAATAAGTGAGTACATTATAATTTCTAGTAGTTTAGTACCATCCTTTAGTTATTGTTTGCATCAACAGTATTTGACATAACCTTCTAGTAAGGTAACATTCAGACAGTATACGCTGTGGTTCAAATACACATCAATTATATTTATTTATGAATCTACCATTATGTCAGTTGGGACTAAGAGGGCACAGTCAGAAAGTGAGAAAGCCATTAACCCCCAAAGATAACAGATGGATAAAGTTATGGACTGCATGTTTGTGTTTTCCCAAAATGTATATGGTAGATGTCTCCCAACCTGACGGAATGCTCTTAGGATATAGTCTTTTGAAAGATAATTGGGTTTAGAGGA